GTGTCGAAACCTTTGATGATACGCCAATAGTTGTCTTTCAAATTCTTCCATGTTTTCTTCATGTCTTCGGCTGTAATCCTCAGATTATCTGATAATTTTGTTATTCCGCAAAAACACTCACTGTCGATGAGAACGCCATATTGTTCCGTAAGCTCGTCGGCTACTTCTGCCCAGAGCTTTGCTCGCAAATCGCTGTTGTGAGTGACCACGGGATATTTTTTCCAAAGTTTTTCACGTTTTTCCACAGCTTTTACCAAAGCTAAGCGCAACGGCGTCGTCCAGTGGTATCGTACTGTGAGTGACATCTAGAAGTGATAATCAAGTAGTAAAAATCAAACAGTTGCTCAAAAAGCGAAGTTTCTAAGTGTTCGATGATATCTTACAAATCAATTTTTTGAAAAAGTGGTCAATGGTAACTCTAGCCAAGCATAAGTAAGTTGATTTGAATCCAAAATGGGAAACCAAATAAGATGATGAAAAATATGCTGCTTCGAATACCGCGCATCAAGACAACGGCGGCATCGCGATTACGCGCCTCCCGCGGCAATCGATTGTTGGCGCGATGCCCTTCGCTCGATTGTGTGTGCACGAGCACGTTTGACACATCATAGCAGGCGGCTGCCAGGAGCGTATTTGGCGTTATGAAACAGGTGCTGATGATTGCGAAGAAGGGCAGAAAGTCAGGGAAGGTTTTGCAAAGATAAATAGGCAGAAATTTACGCACATTTCTGTATTGGCAATTCGAAGTGTTTAACAACGCGTTGATCTGACTTGCTGCACTTCCCTGGGAATGTAGATCAGCATTTATCGATCATTCTTTTGCTTGTAAACTAAATTGAATCAAATAATAATAGTCTTCTCAGTACATTAATTAAATAAGACTGAATCTTTGAGTAATATGTATACTCTTTCTTAGGTACAAAATAAACTAGAGTGAAATCCATCTGATCTAACAATAAGCAAGTGGAGGTACAAATAGGTTTGGGAAGTATTGGGACTTGTAATAATTTTTGATGTCACATCAGATTTGATAGAAATTCGCTGGCCATTTATTTCATCTTACTTACTCCAGAACTTCTTCGTAACCATGCTTTTGCAGCCCTCTCTGATAACAGTGTTTTGTTTTTTTCCATTTCTTCGGTTTTAGTTCACGCCAGACTATCCCTTGTTCTCAGCATTTCAGTATCCTCTTCCATACCTTTTGTCATTCATCTTATCCAGGAAATGAATTTACTTGGGTAGCTGCATCGTCAGTAAAATCTTTCCTAGTGTTCTTGAGTATAATGAACAATCCCGAATCTTTTCTGCTAAAAATGATTAACTTCCAGATTAGCGT